GGGGGGGGGGGGGGGGGGGGGGGGGGGGGGGGGGGGGGGGGAGGGGGGGGGGGGAAAAAAAAAGGGGGGGGGGGGGGGGGGGGGGGGGGGGGGGGGGGGGGGGGGGGGGGGGGGGGGGGAAAAAAAAAAAAAAAAAAAAAAAAAAAAAAAAAAAAAAAAAAAAAAAAAAAAAAAAAAAAAAAAAAAAAAAAAAAAAGAAAAAAAAAAAAAAAAAAAAAAAAAAAAAAAAAAAAAAAAAAAAAAAAAAAAAAAAAAAAAAAAAAAAAAAAAAAAAAAAAAAAAAAAAAAAAAAAAAAAAAAAAAAAAAAAAAAAAAAAAAAAAAAAAAAAAAAAAAAAAAAAAAAAAAAAAAAAAAAAAAAAAAAAAAAAAAAAAAAAAAAAAAAAAAAAAAAAAAAAAAAAAAAAAAAAAAAAAAAAAAAAAAAAAAAAAAAAAAAAAAAAAAAAAAAAAAAAAAAAAAAAAAAAAAAAAAAAAAAAAAAAAAAAAAAAAAAAAAAAAAAAAAAAAAAAAAAAAAAAAAAAAAAAAAAAAAAAAAAAAAAAAAAAAAAAAAAAAAAAAAAAAAAAAAAAAAAAAAGGGGGGGGGGGGGGGGAAAAAAAAAAAAAAAAAAAAAAAAAAGGGGGGGGGGGGGGGGGGGGGGGGGGGGGGGGGGGGGGGAGGGAAAAAAAAAAAAAAAGGGGGGGGGGGGGGGGAAAAAAAAAAAAAAAAAAAAAAAAAAAAAAAAAAAAAAAAAAAAGAGGGGGAAAAAAAAAAAAAAAAAAAAAAAAAAAAAAAAAAAAAAAAAAAAAAAAAAAAAAAAAAAAAAAAAAAAAAAAAAAAAAAGGGGGGGGAAAAAAAAAAAAAAAAAAAAAAAAAAAAAAAAAAAAAAAAATCCCCCCAAAAAAAGGGAAACCCAAAAAAAAAAAAAAAACCCCAAAAAAAAAAAAAAAAAAAAAAAAAAAAAAAAAAAAAAAAGGGGGGGGAAAAAAAAAAGGGGGGGGAATTTTTTGGGGGGGGGGAGGGGAAAAGGTGGGGGGGGGGGGGGCGGGGGGGGGGGGGGGGGGAAAGCAAAGCCAAAAGGGGGGGGGGGGGCGCGGTGTTCTAAAAAAAAACGGGGGGGGGGCTTGGGGGGGGGGGGGAGGGGGGGGAGAGGGGGGGGCGCCAAAAAAATCCCCCCAAGGGCGCACTAAAGATCTCACCCTAAGTCTTTAAACAAAGAAATTACTGAGTTTTCAAATTTCTTTTCAATTCAGAAATTATTATTTTTAACTTATAAATTTAATTTAAGTTTATTTATAAGAAAAATAAAGATAAAGTTACGATATACTCGTATATTTTAAATTATTACTAAGCTATTTAAACAGCAAAGTCAGGTTTCCACCATCAGATACAAGGTTATTTTATATTTATTTCAACACACATTAATGTGTCACAAACCCCACCCTAGCTACACAACATCGAGCAAAACTAACTTTTATCTCAAAGCTCGTAGCGCTAAAACTGTATACAAAATTAAAATGGACGTTTGAAAGGGGCGCCCGCGCACCCTAACGTAAAGTGCTCGGTCTCTCTTACGCAAAACGTGGGGTGAGAGCCAGTTATATAAAGCTATCAACATATTAGTGACGATTTGTATTCGGCGTTTACTACGCGTTTTTATTAGTATATTCACATATAAGAACGAGCCGCCTATCTTCTCATTAATTCTGACACTATAAGATAACTTTCTAGTTAGAAACGTCTGGACATCCCTAATGGAGCGTTTAAATGACTAAAATAAATAACTACACTCGCGAGCAAACAAATCGACTCAAGCGCTACCTCTGCATTCAAAGATTGTTTTAAGTGAAAGTATACAACATTTTAATAAAAATGATATGTCATTTGAAAGCTTAAAACTTCAGCTTTTATGAGATGACATTATTATTAATATCCATGTATCCTTTTTTTATTATTGGTGTCTGAACTTAAATGGGAGAAAAATGGGATTTTGGGTAAAGGAGTTGTGTTCAGAATTGACAAATAAAACACGTTTTTTTTTCTTAAAGAGTATAACATTTATTGGTTCACTAATTGGTATTGCCCCCCTAGCCCAAATTACAGCCCGTATTCGGTTCTTCATCAACCTTATTCATTTTTTGACGGTGTCTTGAGGAATACCTTCCCACTCCTCTAACAAAGCTGCTTTCAATTCTTCAAGGCTCGAATGGGCTGGATTTCTTGCTCGTACCCTTTGTTTGAGCTCATCCCATAAATGCTCGACGGGATTTATGTCTGAACTGAGCGCAGGCCAGTCCATTGTGCGCAAATTGACTTCTCGAAGAAACTGCTGAGTAACGCGCGCTGTGTAGCATCGAGCATTGTCATGCATTAGGATGAAGTCTTCGTCAACAAATCCTGCGTAGGGCACAACATGTTCCAGGAGAATATTTGTGATGTACCCATCAGCTGTCAGTCCTGCTCTTCGGCCTACTCCAGGCACGAAAACGAGCTGGGTTTAACCCTCCAACGAGATATCAGCGCACATCATGCAAGAACCGCCACCAAAGGCAACGATTTCTGCTAATCAGCATTAGTAAAATCGCTCTTCCGGACGCCTGTAGACCCGGCCTCTCCTGTCACTGCCATGCAGACACATCCTGCACTCGTCAGTCAACAGGATCGACCGCCATTACCCAATGCTCCAGTTAAGATGCTCTCGAGCAAACTGTAGCCGAGCTTGCCGGTGGCCTGCAGTCAATTTGGGGCCCGTTGCAGGCCTTTTTGGAGTCTGGTTGGCTTCCTTCAGACTTCTTCTTGCTATCCACTCGCTGAAAGCTATACCTCGAACACGTCTCAGCTCGCCCTGCACGTCGACACCCGTAAGGTGCCGATTTCGCAGGGAGGTTGAGAAAATGAAACGGTCGTCTCGTTCAGAAGTACAACGGTTGCGGCTGGTTGTTGGTCTCCGAGTGAATGCTCCAGTCTCTTGTCTATCGTCTGTATACTCGGGATACAGCAGATTGACTCAAGTGAAGCTGGGAAGCGACTACTCGCTGACTGAGTCCTTGTTGCAATAAGGCAAAAACTTGAGCGGCATCTTGAGGTGTGGTATCCATGGTTTCTTGAAAACAAAGAATGCAGGTTGCGGAGATGTGTATCGGTCAACTGTTTATAAGCAACTCATAAAGGTTGAAGGGTAACGGGGGTTTTATAGGGGTAGAGGGTAGCGCAACTTGCTGGTAGCGTAGTGAGTAATTTGTCCCATACGCACTAATTGCGCAAATTAACATGTTGGTAGTCGTTTTATTTAATCGTGTTGATGTTTTTTTTAAAGCTTAGGTTTCAAGCTTTCAAATGACATATTATTTTTATTAAAATGTTGTATACTTTCACTTAAAACAATCTTTGAATGCAGAGGTAGCGCTTGAGTCGATTTGTTTGCTCGCGAGTGTAGTTTAAGAGGTTCCTTGTTTAACAATATTTGTTGAACTATGTCCCGTACATATATTAGTATAGCAATTCTGCCAACAACAAAAGATCCTATAAAGCATTAAAATATATAACGCGGTAGCTCTGGACCGCGTTATAGGAAATCGCGTTGTAGAAGCATTCTCGTAAAACCATTTTTTTTATCAATTCAATAAAGCTATTAAGTTTAATTTATAACACAATAAAAGCCGATGTAAAGAACGCAGAACTAATTATGTACTTGACAAATCAATATAAATTTCTCACTAGAGAAATATAATTTTAAAAATCTCCGCGTTATATGGGGGTCTGAAATAGCGTTATACGAATATGGTGATTTCCTGTATAGTATAACTTGTGCAATAACTTGATACTTTAGTATTAATATTTCGCGCCTTTCTGGAATACACTGGAGAACATCCTACGACGCTTTCAAAACGTTTATTTAACGCTGTCATAAACCGCAGCTAGTCTGATCATTCCCTATTGGAAGTATCTAGAATAGGTTTGAAATTAAAAACATATTGGAATTTATTATGTGAAAATAATCTTCGTAAATTGATTTTTGGTGTAATAGGAAATTAATTTTATTTGGCGTAAAGTATCTTATTTATGTGCCTTATATAATTAAATAGTCGTATATAACTATTACTTACTTTATTTCTCATAATCGCTGTTAAATGATTAGTCTTTTTATAGGGATCCAGGGATTTGATATTCTTATCTGGGTATCCTTAAGAGCTGCCTTCTTTAATTATTCCATTCAAGTTCTATAAAATTAAATATACTTTTTCTTTTGAAAGTCTATTAAATATACTTTGTTTTTTTATTTTCAAAGTCTATAAAATCTGCTTTTTCTTGTCTTTTCAGTCTATAAAATATTATTTTTCTTTTCTTTTCAATGTCTAAAAAATCTACGTTTTTTTTCTTTACAAAGTTTTTAAAATCGACTTTTTCTTTTCTTTTCAATCTTTACAATATATATTTTTTTTCTTTTCAAAGTCTATAAAATATATTTTTTCTTTTTTTTTCAAAGTCGATAACATATACTTTTTCTTTTTCTTCAGTCTATAAAATCAACTTTTTCTTTTCTTTTCAAAGTTTTTAAAATCAACTTTTTCTTTTCTTTTCAAAGCCTATAAAATCTACTTTTTCTTTTGTTTTCAAAGCCTATAAAATATACTTTTTCTTTTCTTTTTAAAGTCTATAAAATATACTTTTTTATTATTGACTATTAATTGAGTAATCGAAAAATGTTTCAATACTTCAAACTTCCCTCTTAAAACATTATACCCCTTTTTACAAGTCGGTCTGCAAGTTTTCAACGATTTAGAACCTGTTCCAACTTTTTACTTGTAAATAAACACAAATTCATGAAATTCACAAAACCGGTTGTATGAATGGGACGTCTGGTCAAAGACCCTAACAGCTGGTGAGATGAAACTCGGTCGAATTTTACTAATACTACTTCGAGAGGAGCATGGCAACAATTATTCGAAACATGCTTTGCATGGAGGGAAAAGTAACTAAACCAGATGAGTACCATCTTTTTTTTTTATTTCAGAGGTCAAGCTACTTTTCATCATAATCGACGGGTTCATTAAATGCTATTGAACCCATTTTAAGAGGCTTTGTGTTAGACAAGAGTTTGCATCCCGTACGTCCCACGGGATTGGCGCAGGGCAGGCCAGGTGCGATGCGCCCGCGCATACGTGTCAATATTACCTTCCACTTTAACAGGGTTTCTGCCTTTTTCACTGACGAATTTGTGCATTTTCTTTCATACGTCACGTTTTCTTCTATTATTATATTTAAAAAAAGCAATATTGTATTTAACTTAATAAAAATAATATCCTTTTATTTCAGTTACACTTACACACATTAATATTTCTATCTCATTCTTTATTCTGTGTGCCCTTTTTTGGCAAAGGCCTCCTCCAAATCCCGCCATTCCTCTCTGCAGTGTGCCACTCTCTGCCACCTACCACCTGTTATTTTGGTCTATCCACATATTTACCTAAATTAAGTTATTTTTTTAATATTAAAAAAAGAGATGCAGAAATCAGCTACGTGAGGTTTCTACTGCAAGATGTTAATAAATAATAGGCACAAAATCTTCACTACAACAAACATACAAACACTGCAAAAACTAAATAATTACGGCACACGTTCCTGAAAAAAACGAACACAAAAGAACACAACACTACAAAACTGTGTAACTCAAGACAAACACAAAGTGTAAGATAGCGTGTAACACTAGTGCAACCGCCGCTCACCCATTGTGGGGGCACGTCCGCGTGCTGGTGGTGCTGATTGTGATGATGCCGCCTGTCGGGCTGGTGGTGCCCGTTGGCCGCTGCGCACGACGTCGCCGCCACGCCGTACTGACGTGCAAACATTCATTGATAAGGAAAACAAACTAATTATCTTATTAGTCTCTCCAAAATTATTCCTAGTTAGGGCACATAGATTCAAAAGTCCACGGTGTTCAGCGGCGGCCTAGCTAACACTACGCTTTTAAAGCCCGATTCACATATATCAGTGAAGCCACAGTTCCGTCAACGTGTCCACTCAGTTCAGTATCAGTGATACAGTATTGCGTCAGTCATTCAATTCACACATGTCAGTACTGAGTTTACGGAGCTTCAGTGAAAACGTATCCGTCGTCAAGTAACGTGATTATGGCTCTGTTCAATACTACGGAGCTAGCAATGATAGCTGTTGCTTTAGACGAAGAAGAAGAGCAGCATAAAGGAAAAGAAATTAAATGGGCGCATGAAGCATGGCAAATAAGAGAGACGGAAGGAGAATTCATCACATTATACAAAGAATTAGTTAAAGATGAAAGAAAATATTTTAAAATGTCAGAGAGCTGCTTTAATATTCTTCTGCAATAAACAAAATGTAACAAATAATAACACGGCGTCAGTGATCCGACAAAAAATATCGTTGTCAACGAATCTGTCCGTGATTGCCGGTGTCGTCACTGACACTGACAAGTGGGGATGCGTTTATAGAGAACTTATGAAAGAATATTTCGCACTGTGCCGGTACTATGGCTTCACTGATATATGTGAATCGGCCTTAATAGTAATTTCAAATCAAATAATTTATTTACTGTGTTTACAATAACCGAATAGGTATAAAAAACACTAAAGCTAAAACCATACAATTTACTCTATATATATTTGCCCCATAGACACAGAGCTAACAAAGACGTGTAACGAACGAGTGCGTCGCCTATAAACCCTGCTAAGTGGACAGTGAAGCACATCCGACCCTCTAATGTATTGGACATCTTTAGATTCTTATTTAATTTAATCACTATTTATTTATTCCTATCATTTTGCTGACGATTTGTTTCCCCTTTAAACGTTAAAAAGCAGTGCAATGTGTTTTAATGAAATCTCTTATTCGTCGAATATATGTACATGATGGTGCGTTTTTTTAAATGGATATTGATGTTATTTAATAGAAATTAAACTCTATTGATTGCTTTGTAACATGTAAATTATTTTATTACGCTACAGTGTAGTAAGTAAAGGCTAATACAACCCGTTTTCTAAGTTGTAAACGCTACAAATCTTATTGGAGCTTTCCATTTGATATTTTAAACTACAACGAAATAAAAGCTTTGAACTTGACTAAGTTTACGCGATACGTTATCCTGTAATAACTGGCTGATCGATATTTTAAGAACTTAATTGCAAGTAAAACACGTCACAGGATGAACTAGTTGGCCCAGTAACCAGGTGTTGTCTCGGAATGAAGTTTATGACAACAATCAAGTGTTCTTATCCGTTAAAACTAATTACAGATATGCCGCGGGGATAAATTTTTGTTCTTATGAGAAAAATTGTCACGGTACCGAGTGCTTATATGCCATGACTATTCCACGACAGAATCTTTAAGGGATAGAGCGGCAATTGAAAAACAAACTTCTAAGCAAAACGTCCCGTGATCCGTTAGATATAAGAACAGAGATTACGGAGTCCACGTGCCGTCGCGTAAGCGGGCCTACGGAATGCGACCGGACCGGCAGATGTTTCGTGCTCCAAGTGAAATTATTCTTTGAATTTTTTTTATTAGCGGCCGCGGATTAGCTCGCGTTTAGCTTACACCGTCTGGAGATTAACCGTCTAGATTTTTATTGGGCTCTGAGCGAAGCCGGTTCACTTTATTTACTTCAAAATGTCATTGATTCAGTGTCCGTTAAAGCAAGAGTATAACATTATTCAAATTACGAGAATGTAAGTGCGTGCTCCTATTTCACCATGCCTCCTGCTGATAGAGGACAAATCGTTGTTTTTAATTTTTATTATTATAATTTATTACTAAAGATGTCATGTGGAACATGGTGTAATGGTTGTTGTTGCAAAGAGTGGCGGACAGTTTATTGCCAGTTCTTCTCTTCCGTTCTACGCCCTTCATTTGAGAACTGGCAGTAAATGTAAAATTAGAAGTATTTAATGTAGTTATATTTCTTTTTTGACGTTCATAAGTGTACATTATGTAACTACATGAATAAATGTTTTTTGACTTTGACTTTCATTATTGGGTATTGTAAAATAAACCTTAATACAAAGCAATACAGACACCGAGAAGAAATAGTATATGTTCTGGTTCTAAGTTTTTACCAACCCCTTGGGTACTTTCTGAATTACAACTAGCGACCCAAAAACGAAATACTAAATACAGCACGTCGGTACACTCTTAATAAATATTATTTCAAGAATCGTCCTCTAATAAAACCATTAAAAAATTACACTCTAGAGTATAGCGTAATTTATAAACAATCCCACATACGGGATAAATCATAAAATAGAGTGATAAACTGATCTAGCTGTCTAAAAAGCAAGTTTACCTAACTTATTGTAGATCAAATATGATCAGAGCTACCCCCGCACATACATAAATCATAATGTTATGTTACTTCAGCAAGAAACCTCACTATAAATATGTAAATCTTTCGCCAACAACTTTTGCACGATGTATTTTTTGTATGGACATATTTTGCTTACAAAATAGGCTTGTACATAGATAAATACATATTTGGAGTATATTAAAATACCCTTTGATTATCAACTTTACAAAATAAAATTTAACTGTAACTTATTATAAAATTTAAACTTAAAATTCTTTACTTTTTGTAACCCTCATTCATACGAACAATAAGAGAAATAGCTATGGTTTTGTTCTTATCACTTTCATTACACAACCCCCCATATAACGCGGTGGTACGGCCCCGCGTTTTAGGAAATCGTTGTAGGAGTATTATCGTAAAACCGTTTTTTTAACAATACCAAATCTAGGAACACGAATTTAATATTATATAATTGGAACAGGCGCAAAGGTACGCTAAACTAATTATGGACTAGACTTATCATTACAAATTTCACACTACAGAAATATAACTTGAAAAATATCCGCGTTATATAGGGAACGCAAATCGCGTTATACGAAAACGATATTATTGTATTTAACTCGCAAGAAACCGCTTGGTTTGAGTTTCAAAAAAATATACTTAAATTACACGGGGGATGCCTATTAGCAAAAATTAATTTAAAACTAAAGCATTACAAAAGAAAAGAATGGAACTCACCACTCCATTATCCATTCCTCCATATGGTGATTGGTATCCAGGTTTTTCTGTGACTGCAACCAAACCGTACATTATAAACCACCAAACGATAACATCGAACCACACATGATAAGTGCACCACCACGTTCCTCAAACGATTTCTTTAGTTCGTTATGCCATATTCAGTAACATAACTTTAAAATAATAAATAAAAAATCGCAACATCTTAATAATTAATATATATAAATTACGTGTCACGTTGTTTGTCCGCTATGGACTCCTAAACTACTGAACCGATTTCAATCAAATTTGCACACCGTGTGCAGTTTGATCTAACTTAAAAGATAGGATAGCTTACATCTCAATTTATGCCCGTAATATTATTTTATTGCAAATTATTTGTTAATTATTTGATAGTCACAACTCTAACAGATGGCTTTCACATAAGCTACAATTTAATGGCATTACCACCAAAAAAGCATGACTGGTGTTCTCCTACCGTTTCCCTTGAATAGTTTACTACTATGTAATATAACAAAAACCTTAGCCACAGCAACGCTTGGCCGGTCTGCTAGTAATAATATATATCGTATTTAAGAGTAATTCTAAAAATTACTTCTAATCAGACAAAACATGTAAAAAAATAAAATAAATCAGTGGCGCTACAACCTCTTTTAGGTATTGGCCTCAGATTTCAGAATCTGTTTCATGATCATTTTTAAATCTAATAGACAAGTAGGTGATCAGCCTCCAGTGCCTGACACACAGCGTCGACTTTTTAGGTCTAAGACATTTACTCACGAAGTTTTCCTTCACCGTTCGAGCAAATGTTAAATGCGCACATAGAAGGAAAGTCCACAGCCGGGGATCGAACCTACGACCTCAGGTATGAGAGTCGCACGCTAAAGCCACTAGGCCAACACTGCTCAAACATGTACCCTAAGGAATACATGATTTAGAATAATTTTGATAAACATTTTTCGCTTAACATTTCGATCAGCTTCTTTACGGTTTTGGCGTAATTAATATCTACGATCCATTAAAAGTTGTCAACTAAAGTCATCACTCACTAAATTTACTAAACGCAAGAAAATTAATAATTTTGCGCCACAGATTATTCAGATATCAAGTTCAAAGTAAAGACACCGTCTCAATATTCCCACGAGAACAGCAAAACGTGAGTTTGGGTTGTATTCTGCCGCATTTTGAACAAAAAACATTTAAAATGATTTCCCAAAAATCAATCATTTCTCCCTATATATCCCTAGTTCAAAATATTTTCCGTGATTTTTTTAAATAAAACGCTCAAAAACCTTTATACAATTTTCGCCACATGTCAGTAATTCATTGCGGTTTTAATTCACTCTTAGTTAATCCATTCGTAAAATTATTGTTCAATACACAATGAACCCTTTTCCGAAGGGGATTAAAAAATAGGATTTAAGCGTATAAACTTAATTTTTAATTGACAGTTGTGACTGGGTTACATTTTTAATTAATAATAACATCGAGAAGAAATCTTTGAAAGACACCAATTTCAAAAATTTTGTAACAAATTTAATTAAGAGAAATGTATTTTAAGATTTGTAAGGGCACAGTTATTGCAAATACTTAACTTCAGACGTTGAAGCCGTTGACAAAACATCTAATTAACCACGCTAGTCTTAACAGAGTCAGACAAGATTAAGAAGATGGCATTTAATTATCAAAATTGTTTTGTACAATGCACATTTAACTAGACTCAGTACAGGATCTTGCTTTTCATGTATCTACTAAACTGACTTATAAAGATAAAAAGGAAAAAAAAATTAAAGCTTGATAAATGTTCCTAGGGGGCCGTTTAAGTATTACGTAAGCACTATAGGGGGTAGGGGGGTTCTTTGATTTTCTTATTTGGTGATTATGTCAACAGTAATTATTAACAGATATTACCCACGCGTTGTCTATGCTTGAAAACGAAATGTCTTTTCGAGGATTCCTATAAAAAATTATGTGTATGTACTTTTTTTTTCAGTTGCTGACAAGAGGGGGGGGGTAAATTGCAGTAAATCTGATTACGTAATACTTACGAACGGCCCTTAGGTGACAGTTACTTAGGTTAAGGGAGGGGGGAAAAAAAAGAAAAAAAAAAAAAAAGAGGGAAAAAAAAAAAAAAAAAATTTTAAAAAAAAGAAAAATAATAGTTATATTAATGTTTAATTGAAAGAATAAACTTAGTTACTGTAAACAGAAAAAATATATTTAACCTATTTTTTTATTAGTTACAACACGGGTCAAACTAAATAATAAAAAAACATTGTTTCTATCTTCTATATTTTGAAATTAAGTAGGTACTATTTATTTTTTCACGGTGAAAGGATCAAGTAATAGATAATACTATCGAAAAATTATTCAATTTTTTCATAATTTTTGAAAACCTAAGGCCACTTAAGTCTACAATTAATAATTATACGGTATATAAGTATTTCACAATACATAATTTCCTTATCATTGAATTACTTTTTTTTTCATTCATTTATTACAAGAGGGGAGTTGACAACGCTAGCATATAATTCGGATTAGGGCAAGCACTCATGCGTAGGGGCACTTACTTAATGATTACGGTACCGGTTGCACGAATGGTTCAGTGGTTATTAAAAATGCTACACATTGTAGTTTTATTTTATGCTCCGGGTGTGTTCGATAATTTTAGTAAGACTTTTTTTTAATGTAAGTTATTATATATATATATATATATATATATATAATATGTAAGTGATAAAGTTAGAAACATAAAAATAATACATATAATATCTTGGCATGACACTTGTGGTTCATTAAAGCTAACCGAACACAGCGCAAGCTTATAACAACTCTCAAATACATACACACCCATTCACATACTCACACATTCACGCATACTCAATGTCTTATACGACTTGTGTTTGATTAGTTCTAACACTAAAACTACTTTTTTTTTTTTAAACAAACTGTACCACGCAATAATTGTTATCCAGTCACCCAGAACACAGGAACATTGCTAGCAACTCTCAATAGATGAATTTTGTTACAACCTATTTATGTCATGAATAAAGTTTTTATTATTATATTATATAAAAATAACAAGAATTTTAAATGATAAACATCAAGTCGGTACTAAAAAATTAAACAATTTCAACCACTTAAGCGTGGGCAAATAAAGCATGAACAATTGAATCAAATATCAAAGGAAACAAACCAGTGGGGTAAACGGTGTCCCCCAACTGGACATTTACCCTACCTCCCTGCGATAAATCACTAGTTTCACGGTGACATGACAATATACTATTTGGCTACACATCGCTATTGAGGGTGTTACCAGAGATTATTACTTTTTATTTCTTGTTATATTCAACTGTTTATTTGTGACGTTTCAGAAGGTTTTATTAGTAGACAAGTTGATAGATTATCTGTAACTTAATAATTTGATAAGACGAATCGACTTTAGACCTCAAGGGACCGCAATAGTTGATATCTGTGATAGAATAGATAGTGAAGAAGAAAGGTGCTGCTCTTTCTCCGACCTAATGGAAGAATCAGTTCAGTTTAATCAGTCTCTCGACCAGTTAACCACTGACTGGACCGAAAGGCCCTAGCGGCTGAGGTCGAAAATTGGTATATATTCTTAGTGAGCGAAATAACTATGTTAGCGGGTATAACATTATCTCACGTATTATAGCTGTCCCTACAATAGTATATTATATTCGTAGCATGATATTATGCCTGTCGCCTTTGTCAACATAGAATAAAGAACATAGTAAATCGCACTACACGATTTGGATTGTCGTTTCTTGTGAAAACAGGAGTGAAACTCGTAGACCCCTACCTACATTCTTTCCTAAAGATTTTAGATAGATAAATAGATAGAAAGATACATGGGTTCATACGGCAGCTAAATAGGCAAATGCCCCTGGACAATATGCCACATCGTATCCAGTTCTATATAAAGTGTTCAGAGGAGTTGTTTGGATTAATACCTGCAGAATACGAAATTCCACCCGTATTACCTCGACGTCCGTCAGTCCACAACTGAGCATTTTTAAGGCAGTTTCTGCCGCGCACCACCACTATGTGGAATCAGCTCCTCACTGAAGTATTTCCGAACCAATTCGACTTAGGGTCTTTCAAGAAAAGGGCGTAACTATTCGTAAAAGGCCGGCAACGCACTCGCGAGCCCTCTGGCATAGAGTGTCCCTGGGCGGCGGTATCACTTAACATAAGGTGAGCCTCCTGCCCTATTGCCCCCTTTTCTATAAAAAAAAACAATTTTGAACGAAAATTGCATAAACTTTTTACAGTATCACAATTACAAGCAATACTAAAAATAATGCACAATAATACTAAAACATATGGTCGTTATGATTTGAACAAATATATAATCAGCCACTTCCCAAGCTCAAACATTTGCGAGGGAAGAGTTCACGACACACGACATACACGTGACCTCACAAATTTGTTTTTTCATGTTAATTTATTTAACCACTTCATGGAGCGTGTTAATTGAAGTAGACACATTGCTCTATTTATTATTGGTTTTGTGGGACCTCAAAGGGCATTGTGAAATTGGTACGACGCATTTCCCTTGTGAGAATGAATGCTATAATAGTGTACAATTGTACATATTAGCTGACCCGGCAAAAGTTGTTTTGTCATATTAAGATTAACACATCAACACTAACTACGCAAAAAACTGAGTTTTGTATCGCGCAGCCCGGACATACAACGACCAAAATATAAGCCTTGACTTGTTTAAGCTATCGCGGAATAAGGTTAAAATGAGTATAAAGAATATCCATAGAGCAAAATCACTTCCATCATGAGCATACCCTACATACACACCTTCCACGTACTTACCCTCACTTTTACGCCATCACACATCACAGCCAAATAGGTATTACTTAGTTATATGTATTGAATAATTTGTATTGTTTTTTTCCCTTTTGTAAATATTTGAACCTTTTTGTAGTTAAATATAAGGTATTCCATCTTTGGCTATATTTTTAGTGTAATTGTTTGTTATTAAATATAATTTTTGTTAGCTGTAGGATTACGAAATAAATAAATTATTACATTAC